TGTTTAATTGTGGCAAAGTATTTCAAAATCGATTAGTTTACTGTATTGTTTAGATAAGAATATCAACCGTTACAAATAGAGATAGACAGTTTATTTGATAAGTCGGTAAAATACAAAAAATATATATTCTCTTATTAACAACCCTTATCAGTTCGACTTCTTATCAGTAAGTACGCCATAATCGAGAAGTACCGAGCAAGCAAAGCACCTCGCGAATGTCCCATTTTGAATTGATTCGGTTTCGAACAGTCCAGATTTCGCTTAAAGTAAAAATAATTCCAATTCATCTAAAGACCTTTAATTGAGATTTCCAAATTAAAGATAGTTGTGAAAAACACTTTTGTAAGGTCTTGTAGAAGTTTGACAGAGAGCCTGAAAGAAAAAAATATTTGTTCCAATTTAAGGAGGATATTTGTGTAGTCACTTTAATTTTTAACCATCGGAAAAGAACATTATCAAAAATGCCTTTAAATAATGAAACCTTTTAAATGTTTTTAATACAGGGCGTCAGATAATCTAACTGGAGAAACGTTAGGGCAAATACCGAAGAAAAAAACCGCCCTGATTATTGCCTCGCTATCTGGCATTATATTATGAATTTGGTTAAATGTGTCCTCTGTTCAAATTGAATTGAGTGGCATCACTTAACTACATGGATTTCGGCTTGCAAGACTGTAAGAGATATATGAAAATAAAAAACAGTTAACCCAATTAATTAAGGTGTTTAGTTGAGATAAAAAAGTCAGTGTCACGAGCAGGATTCGAACCCACGGTCTACGGCAAGATACGCCGCTGCTCTACCATTGAGCTATCATGACCTTGATCCTCTCGGGCACTAACTTTCCATCTCAACCCCACCTTTTGAAAAATGGCAAAAAGGAGGGAAAATTCAAAAGATGGGGTTGAAATTGGAAGTTACTGCCCGAGTGGATCGAGGTCACGCTCAAGCGGCGTATCTAGCCGAAGATCGTGGGTTCGAATCCCGCTCGTAACACTGACTTTTTTATCTCACCTAAGAACCTTAATTGATTGAAACATATTAACTGGTCAAGCGGACCACGAAAACTAGTGAATTTAATAAGTTAACCCAATCTTTATTATTCTAATTCATAAATCCTCCCTAAACGATCGCTGCCCTCAGAGTAAAGGGCCTTGAAATATAACAGATCAAGGTGATCATTCTTTGATCCATCCTTCAAATATGTGTATTGCTCCTATCTAACACAACCGTGGCATTCTACGCAGGTACCTCAATATTATGTACGAACGCGAATTCCCATACTAACCACCGACAATATCCAGTAACATCTCGAGCTCATGTAATGGAGCAGAATAGAAAGATAAAATGCCATGACAGCAAATGAACCCAAATAACTTTTACTTTAAAAAAAACCGTCTTGCCCTTGACTATACCCCATCCATAAGGAATCTACTGCACGCACACCAACGAAATAGAGCTACCTAGACAGCAAATTGTGTAATCCTTGCACTCAGCTGAAGTGACAAGAACTGAACAGTAGCCTTGGACAACTAAGAAGACTACTAGAACCAAACTCAGACATGACTGTATGATAGTATCTCCTAAAACACTAATTCGACATGTTAGACATTCAAACAGAAATAATGAGGTACAACGAAGCTATCGAATATCCTACTCATCCAAACATTCTAATCAAATGTCCACAGAAGAATTTACCAAGTTCTCTACTAAGTCTATAATAACCTCACCATCCACAATGCCGTTAACATTCACTCGATTCACGACTTGATCAGTTCTCACTTCTTAAAATACCACTATGACCATTCGTATTATATACAACCATACCGTCCAACTTTACTATCAAGAATTTTCTACATTAGAAACTATGTGATCTATTGTATGCTACTAGGCAATTTAATCCCTCTGCATCGGCTTGTCAAGACTTGTCCTCCGGTAGCTGTGCGGACCAAAATGCTAGTGAAGTGAAGAAGCGTTTTTCTCAGAAACTTTATTTCAGATCAATTTTTTAGCAAGATTTATAAGAACAATGATTTCTAAGCTCAAGAGAGTGAGGACAAGCGAGGAAAGATGAAAGGACGGACATTTACAAAAGAATTATCTCTATTGCTACTTCGAACAACATCTTACCAGACCATCAATTTGGCTTTCGAACCCATCATTCCACCACTCATCAACTTCACAGAGTGACTGATTTCATTACTTCTTGTCTCGAGCAGAAACTGTACGCGACTGGAGTGTTTCTAGATGTTTCTCAGGCCTTCGACAAAGTATGGCATGAGGGATTATTATACAAATTAAAATTATTTTTACCCCAGGCCTATTATCTGATTATACAATCATACCTTAAAGAGAGATTTTTCGCAGTAAACCAGGATACGGAGACTTCTGGGATGGAAGAAGTGCTTGCAGGTGTGCCACAAGGGTCAATACTCGCTCCGCTGTTGTACACAATTTTTACTTCTGATATGCCCACAAATGAGAATACACTCACCGCCACATACGCAGATGACACCGCCATATTAACAAGCCATCTCTCTTCTACACAAGATTCACTCATGTTACAAAACCACATATCAACAATTGAAAAATGGAGCAATCTTTGGAAAATAAAGTTTAATCCCTCAAAGTCACAACATATCACCTTTACACTCCGTCGTGAGACTTGTCCTAGCATATACTTATACAATGAACCTGTTCCTCAATCCGACAAAGTTAACTATTTAGGACTCACATTTGATAGAAGACTAACTTGGAATCCATACAAACGATTAAAAAAACAGACACTGAACAAACGATTTAAAATTCTTTATTACCTACTCAACCGACAATCAAAATTACCATTAAAATCAAAACTTTCGACATACACATACCTACACAAACCTATTTGGATATACGGGTGCCAAGTATATGGATCGGCGAAGTATTTCAATATTCAAAGATTACAAAGTTTTCAATGCAAAATTTTAAGACTAATTGTTTCTGCCCCTTTTTATGTAAACAATAATACACTTCACAGAGATCTTCAAATCCCAACAGTTTTTTCATCCATCAAAACGTTACAGACGTTTTCATAGTAAATTACAAAATCACACCAACACACAAATACGATTCCTCCATTCCCCACAATTACCACGTAAACGTCTGAAAAGAATATGGATAAGAGACCTCTTAAATGATTAATATCATTTCATTAATCCAGAGCGTCTGCCAAAGGGTAGCTTTCTCTATAACGCCCATAATGCCAAACACATAATCTGAAATCCAATCTGCTGGTTGTATATAATACATGTACTTCAGTATCTACTGTAGTTGTAGATACAAATAAATGAAGTAAAAAAAAAATTTTATACCACCTGACTATAATACATCGGTTGTAACCAATTTTTGGACTGTTTGTGTCATTTTTTAACTTTGTCTGTCCATCTGTGATAGTTTCAATCTGTCTCCCCCTCTCTTTTTCTTTGTCTGCCTTCTCACTCACTCTCTCTCTCTCTCTCTCTCTATTTCAGTTTATTTTTCTTTTATACTATTTTTTCTTCTCCCTCATAAATATTCTACCATTCTCATTCAGAATCCCTTTTCTTCGTTAAGGTAAGTAGGTTTGTTTCTGATTTTGTTATTTCTCTGCCTGAGTACATTTCTGCCGCTTAATTTTTTGTTTTCCATCCCTCTTTCCACTGTTATTCTTTTAATCTATCTATTTTTCCACTGCTTGCACTAACTCTTTTCTCCCAGTCTCTCATTCCCTCTTTCTCTCTTCCTCTCACACTTACAGCATTTATATAATTTTCTACAATAAAATACTGCAACTATATCAAGTTATATACCTTATTTCTTCATGCATTCTCTCTCTCTCTCTCCTATCGATTTCATTTTATCATTCTGTTATACTTTTTTTCTTCTCCATCATAAATATTCCATCATTCTCATTCAGAATTCATTTTCTTCGGTGTGTCTATATAGGTTTGTCTCTGTTTCTGTCATTTATCTGCCTGAGTATGTTTCTGCCTTTTTTTTCTTGCATCCATCTTTCGCCTTTTTTCTTTTAAACTATCTAGTTTTCCATACACACTCCCTCTCATTCCATCTCTCACTCGCTGCCTCCCTCTCCCTCTCTCTCTCTCTCTCTCTCTCTCTTTCACTTTTTGTTGACTTGAGCCATTTGAAATTCAATCGTCGTGTATTGCTAGCCGATAACCTTCTGTTAATCTGAAACAACAGTTTTTCCGGCAGGCAATTTGCTTTGTTCTAATCACGCCGAAGAGTAACCCGCGGCCTTTTTACCTGATCCGAAACTTCCGTGGGAAAGGCTCCTTGATCGTCCTTGCCCCGGAAGGAGAACTGTGAACACAAAAACATGAATGATTTGGATGTAATCAGTATTGAATGAACGAACGCCTCATTGTAAACCCCCCAAAACAAAAAAAATTAAAGCCATAAAACTTTTTCTAGCAAGAGAGTAGAAGAGTGCTGGGGAGAGAGAGAGAGAGAGAGAGAGAGAGAGAGAGAGAGAGAGAGAGAGAGAGAAGAGTGTGTGAGAGAAAGAGAAAGTGAGAGGGAGAAAAGTGTGAGAGAGAGAAGAGTGTGAGAGAGAGGGAGAAAAGTGTGAGAGAGAGAAGAGTGTGAGAGAGAGGGAGGTGGAGAGAGAAAGAAGCGTGCTGGAGAGAAAGAGAGAGAGCGAGAGAGTGAGAAAGAGAATAGTGTGTGTGTGTGAGAGAGAGAGAGAGCGAGAGAGAGAGAGAGAGCGAGAGAGAGAGAGAGAGAGAGAGAGAGAGAGAGAGAGAGGAAAGAGAGGCCATCGTTGTAATCCACCACCGAAGATGGTGAAAAACCGATATGCAGATCAAAACGATCAGAAACGATTGTGTGTTGGTTTGTCTGTAACCTCCTAACATAAATAGTTGGTATAAATACTATCTGTCTACTGGCTAATTATTTTTTTTTACTAAATATTTTGACCAACCTGCAACATATCATTGTGTTATTTCCATATGTTTCAATTATTCTTTTGCACGACTTGTAGTTAGTTTTTATGTAGTAGTTCGTATTTGGAAAATGTTTGCAATGGAAAATAGTCAAATTTCTTCGTATATATTGCCAGACATAGTATCGATAATGGGTTCTTTTATTATTTCTCTGGCGTTGGTATCATTCGTCCAACCACGCGTTCAAGGTTTCGATTGCAAAAACATTTCAATAAGGTATCCACAGAAGCCTTCAACTATAAGCGCGACAACTTTGCTTAATTCGTCTTTAGGTTTACCAACCTGCTTTATCGTTGGGCTGGAATCGATAATCCAATGGAAGAAAAAGCCGCAAGGTCCTAACAAAACAGTCTTCGCCCTGAAACTTTTCAACACGATCGCAGTTTTCTACACGGCGTTCAACATGCAATTCACCATTGGGACCTTGTTAAAATTGATCGCGGGAGAACCCCGGCCGTATTTCCTCGAGGCGTGTGAGCCGAATGTCGACTGTTCCGACCCTGCAGTCAATTCTCGTTTCGTCAACGTGTACAACTGTACAGGCGACAAGTCGACAGTCCGTCGAGCCAGAGGTGGATTTCTATCCGTGAAAACAAGCAGCATGACGACATCAATGGTCTACATTGCTTTGTTAACAGAAGTGAAGTTGCAATTTAAAGAGATTTTCCTCGGAAAGCTCTTCTTGCAGTTTTTATTCGTTTCGATCGCTTTATTCATAGGAGCAAGCAGGGTTGTCGATCATGAACACAAATGGGCTGATGTGGTCTTAGGTTTCTGCCTAGGCACTGCGACCTCTATCGCCGCGGCTTTCGCCACGAACTGGTTTCAACAAAATATTTCCGTTATCGACGAAACGACAAACCAATTTCCGGATGACAACAAAATGAAAGTAACGAAAGGGCACCTGAAAAAAGGCTTTCACATGCATACGAAAAAAGGTTTCAGTAAGAGCCCAAGAGGAAGCATAAAACCTTCCCCTGAGAGACAATTAAAAGGTCTCATAGTTAAAAAGAATAAAGTAGTCCCGGTTAGAAAATTAAGCTATCACGGTAAAAGACATTCCAAACGAGATTCAATGAAAACCGCACGCCTTTCAGCTCAAAACCCAATAGACGACGAACCATTATTACAGTAAAATTAAAAATTCAACGATTTGGAAAAACTACTTGAAATAAATATCTTTCAGCTTTCCTTTCTTTTTATTTCATCAATACCAAATCTATGTGTGTACAGCCAGCAGTTTTTGAAAATTAAATCAACAGAATATGAATACAGTGTTGATATTCAGATTTTACTTGTCAATTGTTTTAATATTATAGAAAATTATGTTTTATAAAATCTGGTGGTGTGATCTGTGAGCCGATGAACCTAAAGATCCTCTTTGTTCATCCTCGTATGCTATCATCCTGCCTTGTTCCCCCCCCTTACTTCCTACTACTAATTACCTCTAAACATTGTTACATGTGCTTTTTATTTAGTCAATTTTTTTAAAAATAATTTAATTAAATCAATAATACTTGAAATGTATAAGTGTGGAGAAATTGTAGTATTTTAAATAAGTATTTTTATTTAGGCAAAATTCAGAACATAACTATAATTAATTAAGGTTTTTAGTCGAGATAAAAAAGTCAATGGCACGAGCGGGATTCGAACCCACGATCTTCGGCTTGATACGCCCCTGCTCTACCTGGTTCACAACGAGGTGAATTCAGAATATAACATTCTCTTTAAAAGTTACACAGGTGCTAGTTTAGCAAATTCATTATGAAGTTTGTTGCCAGCAGTTTTCTATCAACTTAAGTCGCCACAGGAAAATCAGGGCTATAAGCAAGGAGAGGCAGGACCTTTACTTCAACCATGCCGCGTCTGTCAGACGCGAACGATGTGAAATTTTTTTTCGTCAAAATTATAAAAATATTATTAAAAATTAACGACGATTTTTTTCGATTTACTTTGATCAATTTGGACCACCTTTTAAATTCCAGAAATAGGAATTTATGTGGCAAACAAAGAAATATATATTTTTGGGCAGGGTTAGCACGAGGTATTTTTTCCGCTTGTGTCCTGTAACAAATAAAAATTTATAATTCCCCTGGATTGTTGGATTCGTTGAAAAGCTGGTTTGTTCAGTCACTAAGAACGAGGTGTAGATTTTATGCCAATATAAGTTCGAAAAATTAGAATGAAGTCAAAATGAAACTTTTGAAAAAACTGAAGGCTTTAACCTTAAGAAAGAGCCAAAGAGGAAACTTAAAAGTTCCTACCCCTGACAGACACTTAAAAGGACTCTTCATAGGCAGAATCGGTAATTATGCCGTTACTGATTTAGACGGCAAGTCGTCAATGACGAGGGGAAAAAATATAGTGCTCAATATACCCCCTTGCCTAACTCCACTGCCCACTGGGAAAAGTCAGATTATTAATTAATTACATTACATAAAAGATTGTGATTGACTGTGTAAAGTACTGATTTAAGGTTAATAAAGAAAAAATAAATTTATTTCTATTTTGAAAAGGTTAATATTTATTAATTGGTTAAAATTTTGATACTTGATTGATGTACATAGTCTTAAAGTCTTAAGACTAAAATACTAAATTAGTTGAGTTGATTTAAACTAGTTAGATTATAGTTGAATTAAAAATTCTAAATCCTTAGCGACCTGAAATTTTTGCCATCTGCAAGCTCAGAGACAAAATACATAGATCCATCTAACTAACTAAATAAAAACTAGTTTCGTATCTTTCTATACTTTCAAATTTAAATGATAGTTGAAAGTTATTTCGCGCTTAAAAGCTCTAAATTCTTAGCGCTCTGATAATTTTCCTATCTGTATACTCACAGACAAAAGACAAATTTCTATCTAACTAAATAAATACAAACTACTTTCGTTCCTTTGTGATTCTTGTCAATTTAAAATAGAGTAGACGGGAAAAAATCATTAGAAGTTTATTCATCAGGATGATAAACAGGAAGAGTATGCGAAAAATGCATCCAGTTGCTTTGTCAAAGCATTGATTTATTTGAGCCTATCATAGAAATGATATGTTAAGCTTAAAAGCTCTAAATCTTTAGCGAACTGAACTTTTTGCCATTTGTAAGCTCAGAGATAAAATACATAGTTCCATTTAACTAAATAAATAAAAACTAGTTTCATATCTTTCTATACTTTTAAATTTAAATGATAGTCGAAAGTTATGTCGCGCTTAAAAGCTCTAAATTCTTAGCGTTCTGATAATTTTCCTATTTGAATACTCACAGACAAAAGATACATTTCTATCTAACTAAAAAAATACAAACTAGTGTCTAGGTTTGTAATTCTTTTCTGTTTGTATTTGTATTATATAAACAAATTGTATGTATTGTATCTTTGTATTTTTTAATTATTTAAACAGAGTGACGTAAAAAATCATTGAAAATTGACCCTTCAGGGTATTAAGCAGGGCTCTCCCTAAGGCTCTGATCACCTTAGTTACCGTAGATTACCTACTGCATTGTTGTGATGAAGGTAAACAACTTTCCATCATTATATCGCCAATCATTGTTTTCCCTCTTTAAAATAATGATATTAAATTTAGGCTGTAATAAAATATACACTCATCAATCAGTCCTGAGCCTGCTGGTCATTTAATCGGGAACAAATCAATAAAAAGTAAGTAGTTAAAAATAACAATATACGAGGAATGTCTCGTTTGTACACAAAATTCCCACCGATTTTTTGAAATCAAAACATTGTCAAAAATTTGGAAATAGTTCCTGAAAGAAATTGATGTTTCGATTAACGCAATAAACATTTGGCTACATTTTATAGAGAACAAGAAAATAACGATGCATTTTTGAGGTGGTTTTGGAAAGCAATAGGAAGCCTTCTCGTCCCCAGTCAGAACAAGACCGTGCTAAAATTAATATTCTAACAATGGAAAACACTTGTAAACACGTTTTAAAAATAGACGTGTATTGACTTATACGTTACCTTGATCATTCTCGTTTTCCATAACAACAGACGCAGTTTCAATTTAAAAAAATTAAATTGTTTGAAACGTTATTTCCTAATTTCTATTTCTAAAGGTTCAAAACTCTCAAAATGCATACATAATAATAGTTCTAAAAATAAAAGGGTAATAATAGCCCCATTCAAGTCTAATTATGTGAAAATCAAAGATAATGTTTTTCCGCAATTTATATAATAGATTTTTTTATATAATAGAAGAACGGACCGGGAGGGAGCCTACTTAGCAGAGAGAACGAAAATGGCAAAAGGAGAGAAAAGTAAAACGTGGGGTGGAGATTGGAAGTTAGTGTCCGAGTGGATCGAAGGCACGATAGCTAAAGTGGTAGAGTAGCGACGTATAAAGCCGAAGGTCGTGGGTTCGAACCCCGCTCGTGACACTGACTTTTTTATCTCAACTAAAAACCTTAATTAATTGAATCTTTGTCTATCTTTATACACATGGTCTGGCTACTTCCAATATGTTCTATTGCATTCAGAAAGATACGAATGGAACCATTTCAATGCAACACCCAGTATTCCTATATGATGCAACTTTTGAATTAAAATTTCATGATCTAAGCAGGGGTGCTCAAACGGTCGATCGCGATCGACCAGTCGATCGCGAGTGCTTTTTGAATAGATCTCGAGAAGAAAAAAATTTTTAATAAGTAGGTAGGTAACTAAACTACAAAAATGTATTACGTAATAAAATAACACTGCTTGCGGCAAAAGGTGGCTTTATCAAAGGACCCGTGGCGAAGATATATATGACGTTTTCTTCAATTTTGTAAAAAACTACGAGCTACCAATATATATATTAGTGNGTAAGTAGTCTAAAAATATTGAGGTAGATCGCCAGCAGTTCAAGTTTGAGCACCCCATTCTAAAGTATCAAAACCTTTTGTAATATCTAAAAACAAACTAGCAACCTTCGTACCTAATCAAACCATTATTTAATATGGTCAAAAAACTGACAAGTGCTTCTTCTGTCCTTTTTGATTTTTTAATGCCACATTGCCTCATATTTGAAATATATCTTCTGAAAAAAATCTAATGACCTTTTTTTTGTTATTTTTTTGAAAAAATTTATTCATTAATGAGAATGTATTCATAAGCGTGAATAAGTACAAAAAAGGGCCGGTATAAGAGGACCCCTTGGGTACCCTCTCAATTAAACTAATTAGCATGTGCTAACTATAGAATATCAAATTCTTCACTACTTTTCAGAGTGGATGGGTTTGCAAATAGAAAATTATATATTTTAGAATGAATGAGAGTATTTAGATTAAAACCAGCATGCGATGGGGATGAAGTGACCTAGCTGTTCTCTTGACACAGACAGAATCTATCAAAACGACATAATCACATCAATTATAACAAAGTCATTCCGCAAAACATTTATATTGTGACTTTAATATTTGAATACCATTGACTACACTTGGCCAAATTATGAAACAGTTCTTTTTTATAATCCAGTAATATCTGGTCATAATCGGTTTTGAAGACTGCCACTTCATTACACTCGAACAAAAATTATTTTTCGATAAATCACCTAAACCTAAGTTTCTTGATATCTAGCCAAAATTTAATGTAACAAAATATAATTTTTGTGTAGTTATTTTGCAATCAAGCTCAAAAATAGTTTCAAAATAAGTATACTGAATCTTAGGAAACAACATTAAACAATCGGAGGAATCAGACAATCACAGATAAATCAGGACAAAAGAGACCTATAGTACACATTATCCATTTTGAAAGATAATCTGGTTGAATCATAGCTAAAAGATGAGCAAGCGATGACCAATTTTGTTTTCCTTATGTTAATATTTTTGCATAGTCGTCTTTGACAAAAGATTCTGCCAGATTGCACTCCTTATTTACCTAGAAATGTTGTTCACGTTACAATAAAGGAAGTTTTATCTTTCTTTTGTATTTTGACACTTTTATTCCTAAATTTTCAAAATGATCCCAAGGTTGTATTGTAAAATAGACGATTTATGGCCAATGAGGAAAAAATCCATCTTTATTTTTCATAGGATCACATCTTTAAAACAAAGGCCTTGTCAGCCGTCTGAATCAATTGTTTTCTAGTTTTTTTGAAAGCTAAACAGTTATTATTAAATCAACAGAGATTAGACAGGCATTCCGTTAAAGAAACACGTAGGGTTAATAAACTTACTGGCGTGTAATTTCAATTGAAAAATAATTTTATTAACGAAAAAATACTCATGAGAGCGTGAGATAAATAGAGTGAGTATGAGAGGGAGGGAGAGAGAGAAAAAGAGATAGATAGATAGAGAGATAGAGATAGAGATAGAGAGAGAGTGAGAGAGAGAGAGAAAGAAAGAAAGAAAGAAAGAGTGGGAGAGAGAAAGAGAGTCATAGTGTGAGTGGGTGAAAGAGAGAGTGGGAGTGAGAGTGAGGGGGAGAGAGAGTGAGAGAAAGAAAGAAAGAGAAAGAGCGAGAGAGGGAAGGAAAGAGAAAGAGAGGGAGAGAGAGAAAGAGAGTCATAGTGTGAGTGGGTGAGAGAGAGAGAGAGGAAATGAGAGAGACAGAGAGATAGAGTGAGAGATAGAGAGAGAGAGAGAGATAGATAGATAGATAGATAGATAGATAGAGAGAGAGAGAGAGAGAGAGAGAGAGAGAGAGAGAGAGAAAGCTACAGCTACGTAAGGGTGAAAAAGTAAAACATTTCATATCCAAGGGGGTAATAAAAAATAATATACCTAATAATGGGTAATCTACGGTTGGAGGTCTGTAGTTCAAAACCATCTAAAATATAACACGTCGAGAGAAAAATAAAATAAAATATATAAATTGCTAAGAGTAAGAAATACGAGGGTAGTGAGCGAGAGAGAAATTTAAGAAATGACTTCACTTTTTACAACGGAGAGGTTGATTACAGGCAAGCCATAAAATTATAAAATAAGCCATAAAACGTAAATTTTACAGACAAAATTTCTTAATCTTAAAATAATTTTTCACTGAGACGTTCATCGATCATTTATTTGTGTCTGTATATTCTCATAAACTAGGTAGAATCGACGGACCCAGTAAAATTATCAGTGTCGATTAAATCAATATCAGAATATGAAAATTTTACCTAGAGAAGTGATGAAAGATCAATAACCTTTAAATTTTTAAACATAATCTAATTATTCATCAACTTTCTTTACACGGCTATGCTTGCCTAGGAGGGACAAAGAAAATCAATTATCCATTCAATACAGCTGTTTAATAACTGCTGATGAATTGTAATGATTTGTAACCTTGGAAGAAGTACAGGTGTGGCCAAAAAACGCATATCTAAACAATATCAGACTATTGATTATGAAAATAAGTTTAACTTGGTCGAATTGTAAGAAAATATTTTAAACAATCCATTAATGTGCACTAAACTAACAAGGTTGGTGTGTCGCGGATTTGGACCAAACTTTTTTTGGTAATTCTATACTCTAAAATATCGCCACTTCTTTTGATTATGACACAAACATTGATTATTTTAAATTATTTAAAAAAAATTGTCAAGTGAATTTTATAACATCGAACATTAAACTCGAACTATTGTTCCCTCTAAAAAAACGAGGTAAATTTATGACAAATAATTTTATATTTTGTGAATTTTCTTATAGAAATATTGTATATATTTTTGTGCTACATACGTCATTCAAAAACCATGTGTCTATTATTTCAAATGGTATTTCTGACGTTAAAATCATTTTACCCGTTTTTTAATAGTAGTCGGTTCAATCAGATGTTCCAATAACGACTTCTTAAAAATCGGAAAAATGTTAGGGATCAACAAATAGATATTAAATAGTAAATTCAAACATAAATTTATATTTAGGGGGTCTTTAGACGTGTTAAACCGAAATTTCATATTAGTTTTAAGAAAAAAAATTGTATGACCTAGTTTACTTTCAAAATAAAATTGGTTTTTAGAAAAGTTTTGGTTATTGATAAACTTTGATACCTATTACTATATTTTTATAGCAGTCTAAATAAAAAATGCTATAAAATGATATATTGACATAGTTGATTTGAGCAAATAGAACGGCGAACTAAAAATATTAAAAACGATAAATGTCAACTTTCAATGTTTTTGGCGAAACTATGGCATAGTCACAAAAAGTGGCGATATTTTGGATTACGAAAAGAATTTTGGTCCAAATCATTACACACCAACCTGGTCCTTCGCTTGTTAGTTTAGAACACATTAATGGATGTTTTAAAATATTTTCTTACAATTCTACTAAGTTAAACTTATTTTCATAGCCAAGAGTGTGATATTGTGCAGATGTGCGTTTTTCGGCCACACCTGTACTTCTTCCAAGGTTGCAAATCATTAATATTCATCAGCAGTGATTAAACAGCTGAATTAAAAGGATAATTGATTTTCTTTGTCCCTCCTAGGCAAGCATAACCGAATAAAGGAAGTTGATGAATAATTGTTATTTTTAAAAATTTAAAGGTTATTGATTTTTGATCACTTCAAAAGGCGAAAATGACATTTAATTTTTTTGATATTGATTTAATCGGCATTGAAAATTTTACTTTTTTTGTGAAATAACTTAATTTTTAAATTATTTAAATTATTTTTAAAAATCTAAAGGTTATTGATCTTTTTATCACTTCAATACATGAAATTAACATTTAATTTTTTTGATATTGATTTAATCGGCACTGAAAATTTTACTTTTTTTTTAGAAATAACTTAATTTTTAATTAATTAAAATTATTTTTAAAAATCTAAAGGTTATTGATCTTTTATCACTTCAATAGGTAAAATTAACATTTAATTTTTTTTTATATTGATTTAATCGGCATTGAAAATTTTACTTTTTTTGTGAAATAACAATTTTTAAATAATTTAAATTATTTTTAAAAATCTAAAGGTTATTTTTCTTTTATTACTTCAATAGGTGGAATTAACATTTAATTTTTTTGATATTGATTTAATCGGCACTGAAAATTTTATTTTTTTTTTCTGAGAAATAATATTTAATTTTAAAAAATCTAAAGGTTATTGATCTTTTTATCACTTCAATAGGTGAAATTAACATTTAATTTTTTTGATATTGATTTAATCGGCACTGAAAATTTTACTCTTTTTTTATTTCTGAGAAATAATTTTTAATTTTTAAATAATTTAAATTATTTTTAAAAATCTAAAGGTTATTTTTCTTTTATCACTTCAATAGGTGAAATTAACATTTAATTTTTTTGATATTGATTTAATCGGCACTGAAAATTTTTTTTTCTGAGAAATATTTAATTTTTAAAAATCTAAAGGTTATTGATCTTTTTATCACTTCAATAGGTGAAATTAACATTTAATTTTTTTTGACATTGATTTAATCGGCATTGAATATTTTACTTTTTTTGTGAAATAACTTAATTTTTAAATAATTTAAATTATTTTTAAAAATCTAAAGGTTATTGATCTTTTTATCACTTCAATAGGTGAAATTAACATTTAATTTTGTTGATATTGATTTAATCGGCACTGAAAATGTTACTTCTTTTTTTATTTCTGGGTGCTAAAACGAAATTTCATATAGTTATAATAAAAAAATTGTATGACCTAGTTTACTTGAAAAAATTTGTTTTTTAGAAATGTTTTGGTTATAGAACACCTTTCATAGCTTTGACTATATTTTTTATTGCAATTTACATAATAAATGCTGTAAAATAATATATTGACATAGTTTATTTGAGCAAGTTGAACGGCGAAATAAAACGGTAAATTTCTTCTTTCAAAAAAACTTTTGCCGAAACCAGGGCCTATTCACAAGAACTGTCGTTTACGTGTCCGATATTTTGGAATGTAAAATCACCAAAAAAGGTTTGGTGTAAATCCGTGACCCACCAACCTGGCCGTCCTCTTGTAAGAAGTTTTGCTGAAGAAAGACTCTGCTGTCAAGTTACTTTGAACAATGATAAAAACATCAAAAGTCATGCTCCAACGCTTACCCCATTTTACTCTGGAGTCCTGCAAAGCTAAGCATATTTTGTTACCTTCGCTAGGTTAGCGGCTTTCCTGTATATGATAAAGTCACAAAAGCCCAATTTGCAGACGGCATCAGAGGACGTTACAACTACTGATGTGAAAAGACTATAGCCACATAAAGGATCAGGGTTATAAAGACCCGGCCTCCTCACCCCATAGTTATTGATAGTGTGAGTTATCTCTTTTGTAGAGTGCTTTGGATACCAAAATCTTATTTTACATTAATCTAGGACAAGTAGAAAGCATCAAAGCGCTGACGTTCTTTTTCCACAGCTTGAGGCAAACCTAAAGGATACACCAGGTTGTCATGCAACAGATTTACTACTTATTTCACACTTGGAATAACATCTGCACAGTTATTTTAAATTTCATTAGTGTTTTCAAAAAATTCGCTATGGGAAAACACTATAGCCAGATTGAAGGTTATTTTCATTGAAGATTATTCAATTTTGACTCTTTCTCTATAGTTACTGTGGTTATCCACTTGTTGAAACTTTTGAATTTTGGACACCCTTATAAATCTACAACATTAGGGTTATAAGTAGGGAGAATCAAAAACTGACATTATTTTTTCACAACTTGAAACAAACTTCAAGGCTACTCCACTTTGCCTAGTAGCAGAATTGCTACTTACATAACACCTCGAATAATACATGCCAGCGTTGTTTTAAATTTCATTAGTATTTTCAAAATATTCGATTTGGGAAAACACTATAGGCAAATTGAAGATCAGGGTTGTAAGCAGGGAGAAGAAAAATTATGACTCTTTCTTCTATAGTTACCGAAATTATGGTTATCCTCTTATTGAGTCTTTTGGACTTAGGATGCTCACACAAATCTATAACATTAGGGTTATGAGAAGGGAGAATCAAAAGGTGACAATTTTTTTCACAACTTGAAACAAACTTAAAGGTACACCAGATTGTCTACTAGCAGAATTGCTTTTTTTTTTTTTTTTTTTTTTTTTTGCTGGGGCTTCCGACATCTAGGTCATTTCAGCCCCCCACTAAGTCTATATTTTATATTCTATACCCGTTCAAACACAACATTCATACAAATAAATACATTTATACACTTAAATACATCCATACAGTTCACACATTCCGTTTGGTCGGTGGAGTACTTGATATTCCTCCACCGACCTACACTTAAACTAAACTAGATTGGGGTCGATGGGGTACTTTTATGAATATTCAGCCATCGGCCCCGAACACACACTCACCCGCTTTCATCGTTTGAGGGGCGATGATGACGTTATATTCACCCTCACCCCTCGCCATTCACGCTAATAAATACATGCACACAGACAAAACATATATGCACATAACAAATAAGACATACTATATATAATAAAAAACCCCAATTTCACCTAAAAAGAGGAACAGGGGACTCTGAAACTCGCTACCGTGCTCGAGGACTCTTCTTAAATCCGGCGGCATGCCTACACGCTCTCTGTATGGAGCCAAGGCATGACACGCCTCTATTATGTGGGACACATCGAGCAACCTTTCTCTGCATAAGGGGCACCTGCGCGGGCTTTGGCCCAAAAGCAGGTGCCCATGTGTCAACCGAGTATGGCCAATCCTCAGTCGGGTGAGGACGATCCCTCATCTCCTGCTCAGATTCTCTGAGGGCCATCTACCGGTCGTGTTCTTGACTCGCAAGAGCCTCTCCGACGACCCAATTGCTATTAATTTCGCTTTTTAAATACCTTCTGCTAAAATTGCTTTTTAATTGCAATAGTATTTCAAAAATCCATATTGACGGAAAAAAGAAAGTCCATTAGTCTTTTGGAAAAATTTGATATGGCAAAACACAGGATTACCAAAAATTAGGACACAGAAAAGGATTTATCTAATTTTGAAATTAACAACTAAATGAATAACATTTTCTCCTTTTTTACCATAATATTTGGATTTGTTCAATCCTCAAGTATCAATTTGGTGACATACCATTACATTCTTATAGATACCACAACCTACGCTTACGAATAAAAAGCCATATCAGTGAATAACGATTATTCACTGAATTAAGGTTCTTTAGTTGAGATAAAAAAGTCAGTGTCACGAGCGGGATTCGAACCGACGACCTTCGGCTGGATACGCCGCTGCTCTACCACTTGATCTATCGTGACTTCGATCCACTCGGACACTAATTTCCCATCTCAACCCCACCTTTTGAATTTTCCCTCCTTTTGCCATTTTTCGAAAATTTTAAAAAAAGATAATTTAAAATAATCAATGTTTGTGTCATAATCAAAAGAAGTGGCGATATTTTAGAGTATAGAATTACCAAAAAAAGTTTGGTCCAAATCCGCGACACACCAACCTTGTTAGTTTAGTGCACATTAATGGATTGTTTAAAATATTTTCTTACAAATCGACCAAGTTAAACTTATTTGCATAATCAATAGTCTGATATTGTTTAGATATGCGTTTTTTGGCCACACCTGTACTTCTTCCAAGGTTACAAATCATTACAATTCATCAGCAGTTATTAAAAAGCTGTATTGAATGGATAATTGATTTTCTTTGTCCCTCCTAGGCAAGCATAGCCGTGTAAAGAAAGTTGATGAATAATTAGATTATGTTTAAAAATTTAAAGGTTATTGATCTTTCATCACTTCTCTAGGTAAAATTTTCATATTCTGATATTGATTTAATCGACACTGATAATTTTACTGGGTCCGTCCATTCTACCTAGTTTATGAGAATATACAGACACAAATAAATGATCGATGAACGTCTCAGTGAAAAATTATTTTAAGATTAAGAAATTTTGTCTGTAAAATTTACATTTTATGGCTTATTTTATAATTTTATGGCTTGCCTGTAATCAACCTCTCCGTTGTAAAAAGTGAAGTCATTTCTTAAATTTCTCTCTCGCTCACTACCCTCGTATTTCTTACTCTTAGCAATTTATATATTTTATTTTATTTTTCGATCCACTCGGACACTAATTTCCCATCTCAACCCCACCTTTTGAATTTTCCCTCCTTTTGCCATTTTTCGAAAATTCAAAAGGTGGGGTTGAGATGGGAAGTTAGTGTCCGAGGGATCGGAGTCACGATAGCTCAAGTGGTAGAGCAGCGGCGTATCCAGCCGAAGGTCGTCGGTTCGAATCCCGCTCGTGACACTGACTTTTTTATCCCAACTAAAAACCTTAATCAATTGAAAGAAATTATTTGGCAAGCGGACCACGAAAATTGCTGAATTATTCACTGAGTTAGAATCCAAGTTGGAATTTATGGATTTTCATCGGGAAAATCATACTTTTGTGCTTGATCATTTGTTTACAAAGCGATATTTGCCCAGAAAAAGCAGAATCGTCGATTTTAAACACCGCCGGATTGACATAACAGTCAGGTTTCTGCAACCGCTTTAGCTTACGTCACGAACTTGTTTTATGAAATTGTTATTGATGATGAAGAAAGCCTGTTTTCAGATGCGATGACCAAAACATTAAAAAACCTGACTAGGTGGTTTAAATCAATTGTTAGTATAATAATACACAATCATTGACACATGTTTTAATTTGTTTCTGAAGAGCGATACGTTTAAATAATAACATTTAATTTAATTTTATTATATAAAATACCAAATGTTCAAAATATTAGAATTGTTAAATCACGTTATTTATTTTCTATTATTAGTTAGGATATACGATGCGCACTAGTACAATTATTTTAAGCTTCATATCACATTTAGTGGCTATCCTCGGTTCTAGTATAATACGTTATACCTTGCTTGGAATCCGTCCAAACAATGTCGGTTTCGATTGCACAAATATTTCTATCAGGCACACACAGAAAACGGCAACGATTAGTAATAAAAATTTAAATATTTTTTCTTTAATTTTCCCGATTTGTTTTGTTTCTGTGTACGAAATAATACTCTTCTTGTGGAGCTCCAGCCAAGAATTGAACTGGCCGGGCTACAGCAAAACTCTCTTCCCTCTGCAACTCTTAAAGACAGTCGCTGTATATTTCACGGCGTTCAACGTGCAAGCCATCATAGGGGATTTAATGAAATTAACGACGGGTGAACTCAGGCCGTATTTTATTGAAGTGTGCATGCCGAATGTCACCTGCTCGGATCCGTCGATCAGTTCGCATTTTATCAATGATTACGCATGCCACGGAGATCCGGCGAACGTTCGAGATGCGAGGATGTCATTTCCGTCCGATCACGCCTACTGCATGACAATGGCGATGGTGTACATTTGTCTGTATGTCGATAACAAGTTCTATTGGGATGCGATTTTCATCGGAAAGATACTCTTCCAGTTTATACTTGTTTCATTAGCGATATTTGTCGGAATAAGCAGCAGGGTAGACAATCAACACCACTTCATAGACGTCGCCGTCGGAATCATCTTGGGCACGGCGACTGCTTTTGCTGCTGTTAACGCTACGAACTTGTTTGGCCAAAACCTCATCATAAACCAAGCACGACCTTCACAACATTCAAAGAGCACTCCAATGCATGCCGTAAATTCGACTGGAACGTTGGACACATCAATATCTTCAATTGATTATTCACAAAGCAATATAATGCAATGAAAAGTATTATCAGCTCATTTACGATAAGTATGAAATAATTAGATAAGAACCAAAAAATAAATTCATATGATACATTTAAGAAAGAAATTGATATTTTGGATTTTTTAAAATAAAAGTTCGGTCGGAGCAAATTTATATTATACCCTATTGAAAAAAATGTACAACTATAGCATATGCAAGGCCTATCCAACAATCCATTGTTCATTGGGGAGGGGTACAAAATTTCGATTTTTTTTGCACACGGGACCTAAAATCGTGCAAATTTAGAGAAAACTCTACACATCATTTTTCGTCGAAACGCAATACTTTCTCCCCCTTCAAAGGGAAAAATTGAAAAAATCACTTAATTTAAATGTTTGAATAGTTTAATTTCAAAAAAGACACAATTTTCACAAGTTTCCGGAATGTTTTTCCGTCATAGTCTGCAATGTAAATGTTTTTAGTCACCAACATTAACGAATATAAAAAAATTCATCGCCAACAAAGAGGTTATCACATCAAGAGAAAGAATAAGTAGATTAGAGGCCGAAATCAGAAAAGTACCAGGACATGTCTAATCACGAAAAAAAAATCGTGTTCTGCAATGTAATTTGTTAACAAAACATAAACGAACAAAAAACCCCTCACGGCAGTAAGGATTGAGAGGTAGACTTCTTTTCCGGATCAATCCAGCCGTGACTAAAAATTTACTGATTTAAAAATTATAGAATAATTGGTAAACAATGGGTATATATTATTATTTATTTTATACAAAACGTAACATCATAAACATATTGCAATAGGGCAAACAAATAATCAAATGTTTTTGTTTATTATTAACAGCTGGTGTTTGTTAAATTAAATTAGATTCGGGCCATTTTTTCGTAGACAAAATAATGAACATAGATTAATGGTTTACTAGTTTACTACCCAATTTGAAATTTTATTTAAGCTATTTAATTAATTATTTTTCCGTGTAACTTCATTATTACTTTTCGGTAATAATGTGAGATTTACGGAAAAAGACGTAATGGCCACCATATTTTTTAATAATATACAAAACTTTAAGGACTTTTGTTTTTTACCGTGATTTTTCTGTTAATTTAAAACAAATCTTGTCATATTTGGTAACAAAAAGTTAAGAAACGCCTACGGTTTCGTTTTATTGTAAAAAAGAAATTAATTTGAGCTTTTAAACGAAAAAATTAGGGAATTTGCTTATAATTAGAATAAAATCGGGTAGTCGAAATGAGAAGTTTGTGGCATGGGCGATCGAAGTCACGGTAGCTCAAGTGGTAGAGCAGCGGCGTATTGAACCGAAAGTCGTTGGTTCGAATCCCGCTCGTTGACATTTTTGACATTGACTTTTTTATCTCAACTAAAAACCTTAATTAATTACTAATAATAAATGCCATTAATATTAATTTTGTCTACACTCTTGTTCTCATCTATCAGCTTAGTGGGTCCCCACCCCTTCAAAATCCAACGTATATAAACACAAAATAGCAAAATCTCACTGGAACTCTCGACACGACAAGCAAGGATGGCACAATTACACAGAAGACAAACACTTTGAGTGAGTAGAAATACTTTGATTGAATATAAAAAAAATATATTTTGCATTGTATATATTCACTTTTTCACATCCAAAATGTAATTGTTATATGTAAACAATGCTTACAAAATCCCAGGTCCTGAAGATGATCTCAATAAAGATCGAAACGTTGGCACGATAAAGAAAATGTTTTTTTCTGAAACCTACATCACACCAGACCGCATCTCACGATTTCTAAATAAATATCAGCTTAGTGTTTCTTTCTATTTACAAAATGAAATAATCCGTCCGTTCGCAGTTTTATTAGACAAGTGCGTCACTAGAATAAAGATGGTACCCTAACAATAATACGCAAGAACAAGGTCAAAGTCTGTCCTAGACCTTTCCCTTCCACCTAGCCACATATTGTCGATTACAAGGTTAATTAACTAAGTGATCATTTTTATAAAAGGGTTTCCATGCATTTTTCTTATAAATCGAATGATCATATATACATTTTTAAAGCTATTTTCCGAGAAACCGGGAAGAAATATCCCAGATCGTTCGTTTTATAACGAAAATGCACGGAAATCCGAATATAAAAATGATCTACTTAGTGTAAAGAAAAAACATACATGTTACATATGTAATGAAGAAAATGAATTAATCCATGTTATAAAAAGGGTATAAAGGTGTCAACAACCCATGTAAGGTTTTATGGACGAGGGGTCAAACCACTTTGAAATAGTTTTCTCTACATTGTTCACAATATTTATGAAAGGTGTTGGTTGAAATAAAAAAGTCAGCGTCACGAGCGGGATTCGAACCCACGACCTTACGCTAAATACGCCGCTACTCAACCACTTGAGCTATCGGGTTCGAATCCCGCTCGTGGCACTAACATTTTCATTTCAACCAAAACCTTACGGAAAAAGATTAATTAATTGAAAGAAGTAATTTGGTCAATCAGACTACTAAATATAATGGATTTATTAAACAGTTTGTTGCTTAAGAATTCAAATAAGATATAATAAACATTTTTAATTCGGTAAAAATTAAGCATTGAAAAATCCTTTATCCTTGTTTTGGATTAAGGATTAAGTGTGTTTAACTCTAAGTCATATTCCCAATTAAAAAATGTGCATAAAGAAATATTAATTGTTAACAACAATTAGACAAATTAAGGGCAGATTCTTTTATCAAGAAAATGAAAAAAAAATCAATTGGGTGGAATTTTTTGCCTGTCGGTGTATAAACATTATTTGCACATATTTATATATTTGTCTGTATATATCCATTAATATATACATTTATAGATCTAATTTACTTTAAACCTTACCCACACAACCATCTGCTTTTCAATTTATCTATCTATCCATACATTATCTATTTATCAACGTAGCTCACAAATTTATTTATCTATCAATGTATCAATAACCTTCTATTTATTTATCCATCAATATACTTATATATACATCAATTTATCTATAAATTTTGTTTACCCAACCATCTATATATTCACCTATCTATTCAATTTTCTATTTATCTATCGATCCATCCATCTTCCCATCGATCTATTTTTCTATCCATCTATCTAGCTGAGCTTATATCTATCTTTCTTTTGTTATCTATTCTTATATTTTAAAATTGCCGTTTGAATTAATGTAAATAATAAAATTATATGTGCAAATTAATTAAGGTTTTTAGTTGAGATAAAAAAGTCAGTGTCACGAGCCAGAATCGAACCCACGATCTTCGGCTAGATACGCCGCTGCTCTACCACTTGAGCTATCGAGACTTCGATCCACTCGGACACTAACTTCCCATCTCAACCTCACCTCTCGAATTTTCCCTCCTTTTTGCCATTTTCAAATACCGTGTAATCTACTTGATTCTCGGCGACAAATGAAATGGCCACGGAGAGTTTTTGTGAAGATGTACTTCAGATTAATTATTAAATCCGGCTCGTGACGCTGACTTTTTTATCTCACCCAATACCTTTCATGAATATTAATTAATCGAAAAATGTTTTGGTCCATCGGACCACGAACTGTAATGGATTATTCACAATTGAAATCCAAAAGCTAAGATACGAACTCAGAACCTCTAGCGTGAGAAATAATAAACAGAAGCTCTAACTACTCTGTCACAACGGCCCCAAACATGTACATATATACATATTTACATATATTACGTTTTTAGACTGGTCATTATTCAGAATGAAAAGATGAAAGGATATCGCATGGAGAATAAGGAGAATAAGGATCGGGCACCTGAAGCCACCAAGGCCTTCAAATGAGAACTTGCTCCCACGTGCAAATAATTGACAATGTAACAAGTCAGAGTTGTACATTTTTACAATTATTGACTTCCTTAGTAATAATCAAAACTAAGTAATGATATTACTAATTTATTAAAACAACAAGTCTAAGTTGCCGTGCAAAAATAATCTTTGGTGGTTCTACCCCAAAATTAATAAATGAAATAAATAAAAAATAAACAGATGTAATGCTTATCGTCATCGACTAACGAGTCAACTGTTTTACATCTTAAACATATGCTCATTTTAATAATACCTTGAAACTTTTTTTTGTCAAACATTTGTACAATTCAACAGTTTGAAAGGAAAATGTGTAAGTCTATTTGCAACATTATTGTAACCACTGTGTTTGTTTTCGTATGGATAATACTTTTGGTTGGCTCAGTGATACTCAAGCCGAACTTTCGTGGTTTCGATTGTAGAAATATTGAGATTAGGTACCCGTTAAAGAGGCCGACGGTTGGCGTGCTTTCTTTGATCTTTTTAGCAATTTTGCTCCCTATCTTGGTTATTATTGCAGTTGATTTGTCAAATTTCCTGAGGACGCATAAACCGCCCGGTTTCAAGAAGAAGACCTTCATCTTGGGACTCTTGGTCACTATTGCGAAATTCCTCATGGCCCAAATAATACTACACACCATTGGCAATATGATAAAAGCGACCGCGGGTGAAATGAGGCCGTGCTTTATGGCAGCGTGCAAGCCAAACGTCAACTGTTCGGATCCAGCGATCAACGGCCGTTATGTCTACGATTATAAATGTACCAATACGGGTCTATGGGCCATACAATCTAGGCTGACATTTCCGTCAGGACACAGTTACGGCACAGCGATGTCGATGGTGTACGTTGGCTTTTATGTGGAAACTAGGTTAAAAGTGAAGAGATTCATCCTCGGGAAAATCTCCCTACAGTACTTATTTTCTGTCATCACGATATTTGTCGCAGTAAGCAGGGTAGTCGATTTCCACCACCGATGGGTTGACGTAACTGTCGGTATCATCTTCGGCGCGGTTGCCGGAGTCGCTCATTCTTACGTTACAAACTTGTTCGAACCACACAACGAAGAAATCGACGAAGTTTCACAAGACCTTGAATAAGTTTATCTAAAACATCAACAGATCTGCATGGTTTAAATATATGTAATTGTTTTATATAATAGATGTGTACCATTCTCATTTATTTTATTTACATAGTTCCTTTTATTTCTCATTTTCTCACTCCGTCTCTAACACACAAACATACTCTACCCTTCCTTCCAGTCTGTATATCTGTCCTGATGCCTGAAACAGTGTCTAGCTACTCTTGCTCTCTCTCTCTCTCTCTCTCTCTCTCTCTCTGTCTTTACTACAAGACATAATAAGATATGAGTCAATATGTGGTGAAGAGAGGGGGAGAGAGAAAGAGAGAGAGAGAGAAAGAGAGAGAGAAAGAGAGGAACAGTGAAAGAGAGAAAGAGAGAGAGAGAGAGTGAAAGGGTGATAGGTAGAAAGAGAGTGATAGGGTGAAAGAAAGGTGCAGAAATAAAGAAAGAGAGGGACAGTAAGAGGAGTACAGAGATGAAGAAAGTAGAGAAGTCAGAGATACAGAGGGAGAAAGAGAGAGATAAAAAGAGATTGTGAGAATAGTGCATAGGAGAGAGGGAAAGAGAGATACGATGGAGAGCTAGATTAGAAAGTTAGAGAGAGATTACGAAGAAGAGACACACAGAGAGATAAGAGAGAGAAGAGAAAAGAGAGGGAGAGTGACGGAAAGAGAATGACAGAGTGAAAAAAGATACAAAAATAAAGAAATAGAATGGCAGTGAGAGATATACAGAGATGAAGAAAGTAGAGAAGTCAGAGATACGAGGGAGAAAGAGAGAGATATAAAGAGATTGTGAGAATAGTGCAGGGGAGAGAGGGAAAGAGAGATACGATGGAGAGCTAGATTAGAAAGTTAGAGAGAGATTACGAAGAAGAGTCACACAGAGAGATAAGAGAGAGAAAGAGAAAGAGAAAAGAGAGAGAGAGAGAGTGACGGAAAGAGAATGACAGAGTGAAAAAAGATACAAAAATAAAGAAAGAGAATGGCAGTGAGAGATATATAGAGATGAAGAAAGCAGAGAAGTCAGAGTTACAGAGCGAGAAAGAGAGAGATATAAAGAGATTGTGAGAATAGTGCAGGGGAGCGAGAGATAGAGAGATAGTTTAGAGAGAGAGGGAGAGAGAGTGAGAGAGAGAGAGAAAGAGAAAGAGAGAGAGAGAGAGAGAGTGAGAGAGAGAGAGAGAGAGAGAGAGAGAACAGATTTACGGAAATGTAATTTCACGTATAAAGAGGCGTTGATTTTTAAAGGTAAAAGTAACTAGCATTGTAATGTATGTAAAACATAAAATATGTAAGATATAGTGAATTCCTGTTTTATCAATACATCGGCAAAATAATATTCACCTAATAACAGAAGCTAATAAGAATCACTAAAAGTTTTACACTTTTTCTTTTTCATTTTTATTTTAAAATAGTCTTCTTTATAATCACTCGCATATTTCACGAGTTATATTTAATAATTTTTGAGGCAATCTGTGACATTTCAACATCTTTGGTTCTTACTTGCTAAGCACAGCTTGTCACTTTTTCGCTTTTTTTTAGGGGGTGGGGAGTGGATGGATATTGCTGTTCATGTGTGTACGAAGCGGGCCAGCATTCTGTAGGAATCGCAAGTACAACGCCGTACGACAGACGTAGGACGTCTATATCAAACACGAGCCCCGGTTTTCCATCGGATCGACTAAAAACTCGAAATCTCTCGGGAAAAACGATCTTAGCGGCTCGTCATATTGGGTGATAACATTCGTCAGTAGGATGTTCTTCACCCAAGTAGGCGAAATGCAAGGCTTAGAAGTAGTGGTTTTTGAAAATGGTCCGAACCCTCTTTAACCAGGTAACTCGCCCTCCGATCCTTCCTCAGAAAATCCTCTAAATTTTAACTCCCGGCGATGATGACACACCAAATCGCAAGCTTCCATTTTAAAGTAAGCATGAAAATAATTTAAACTAAATAAATCAATACATTTTAAGAAACAAATAATTTTGTTTTAAAAAGGTACAAATATTCAAATACACTTATGGAGGGCTTGGATTTCTAATACATGTATATTTTCTGTTCATTATTCAATACATATATATGTTCTATTTATCCTTAAAAGACCATAGCCTTTCCCTGTCGCAAAAATTACGAATGAATAAAGCAAAATTGAATGCGCACTTCGACACATCCTTCATCCTACTCATATACAATAACCTTTGACAGAAAACCGTCTTAAATAGGAGTTGGCTCATTTTATGGCTTCCTAGCAAATACGGAATTTTGTGAATTTGCTTCTTGTTGGAAGAGGGTTCATAAAACCAGTCGAGATTATTTCAGTGAATATTATTTTACGACAGGACTTTTGTACTGGTTGTAACAAAACACAATTCAATTAATCTGCTTTACTTACTGATGTACTGATGGAGGTCAAGGTTGGGGGTGTTTCATAATTAAAATACAGTTCGGCCATGCTTTCGATTTATTTGAAGACATACTCAGGGCCTGAATTACAAAAAAACATCGAAAACATAAATTTCAAGACATTGATAGAACAATTCATATTTTATGCATTTGCCTATATGCTATAAAAGTGTTAACGAAGGCAGCCAGTTAATAAAGGCGAATAACAACAACAATCTTCTTTTTTTAACAAAACACCTAGAAATAAGTCTAAAAGTAATAAAATTATGTTAATAATTAAATTAACTAATTTCGTGGTTCGCTTGACCAATTAATATATTACAATTAATTAAGGTTTTTAGTTGAGATAAAAAAGTCAATGGCACGAGCGAGATTCGAACCCACGATCTTCGGCTTGATACGCCGCTGCTCTTGAGCTATCGTGATCTCGATCCACTCGTACGCCAACTTCCCATCTCAACCCCACCTTTTGAATTTTCCCTCCTTTTTGCCATTTTTTAAATGTCGTGTAATCAGATTGGATTCTCAACGACAAATGAAATGGCCACAGAGCTTTAGTGAAGTATACTTCATTTTAAATCATTAAATTCACTAATTTCGTGGCCCGCTTGACCAATTAATGTATTACAATTAATTAAGGTTTTTAGTTGAGATAAAAAATGGCAAAAAAGGAGGGAAAATTCAAAAAGTGCGGTTGAGATGGGAAGTTGGTGTCCGAGTGGATCGAGGTCACGATAGCTCAAGTGGTAGAGCAGCGGCGTATCATGCCGAAGATCGTGGGTTCGAATCCCGCTCGTACCATTGATCTTTTTATCTCAACTAAAAACCTTAATTAATTAATAATTAAAACTTAATTTTTAAGCTTAAAATACATACATTTATATTATTGGGTTTTCCGGAAAATTGGTTTGTGGATAGAAAATAAAATCAATTAAATGAACGATTTTAAACATTTTTATTGATTAAAATACCTTTATCATTCTTAATACACTTCTCTCTATGTGATGGCAATATCTCCATAACCTCTGAATAGAATTGGGAATCTCTATTATTAATAAATTATGTAAACGCATTTTCTAACGAGTTGTGACCAATAATTTTTATGTTGTAAAACGTCGTCCAGGTGCATGAAAAAATGGTAGTCGGTAGGCGAAAGGTCTGGAGATGGGAAGGTTGAGGCAGAACCTCATAACCAAAGATCCAACAGTTTTCGTGTCAGGCATGAGGCCAAGCGTTGTGTAACAGAATCGGCCTTTTCCGATTGACCAAATATGGCTTCAATAATGCTAATTTCTGGTGCATTGTTTCATTTTGAGAGCAATACATTTCGGCAGTGATTGTTTCGCCAAGATTCAAGAAGCTGTAGTAAATCAGCCGAAATCAAGCCCACCAAAGAGTCACCATCATTTTTTTGATTATAAGTTGGGGGCTTTGGAAAATGTGATGCTGCTCCTTCCAAAACGTCCACTGTTATCACAAATAAAAACAAATTGTATCCGTAAAAGGTTCGTTTCTGTTTCGGCCAAAAAAGGGCGCAAACTTTATAAAGTTGATTTTTTAACGGTCATTTAATACATGAGAACCCCAACTTAAGAACTTTTTCACCTTTCCGATTGCCTTAAGGTGGTCAGCGATGGTCAATTTGCTAAAGATTTGAAAGATTCTCTGCAAGTTCTCCAACATTTGTTCTGGGATTTTCATCGACCAAAGCTCACAGAACATCATCATCGACGGTAGAAATCCTTCCACGACTTCTTTGTCTTCCAGGCTAAAATCTCCCTATCGAAATTTTTTAAACCATCTCTGCAGGGTGCTCTAACTTTGTTCATTTCTGTTTGTGCGAGGATTAAAAAGGGTTGACATTTGTACGAAAGAATAATCCATTAAACGTAAACAGTTTATTATATACAGGGGTAATTGAAAGAAAACATGAAAACCTGTATTATTTTCCGGGCAACCCAATGTTTGTTAAATAGTAAAACTGTTTTATCTTTAAATATAATTAGCACAGAATTTTTTAAACTAGAAGTCGTGTTTGGGCTCCTTAGAGAAGTGTGTGGTGATTAGTGACCGTTAGTCGATGATTGTTCAGAAATCGTGAGATGAAGTCTGGTATGATGTAGGTTTCAGAAAAACATTTTCTTTATCGTGCCAACGTTTCGATATTTATTGAGATCATCTTCAGGGCTCAAAGTGTTTTTTTTTCTCTGTAATTGTGCCATTCTTGCGCGTCGTGTTGAGAGGGCCCCTGGGAGGGCCTACCTACATGTATTTGTAAAATGTAAACAATATTTATAAATTCCAGGCCCTGAAGATGGTCTCAATAAAGATCGAAACGTTGGCACGATAAAGAAAATGTTTTTCTGAAACCTACATCACACCAGACCGCATCTCACGATTTCTGAATAATCTATAGATGTTATTTTTGATTTTTTTTCTTTACCTTATATCACAATACAGAGTAGAGGGTGTCTCACATTTCAAATTCAGAACTTTTATAGATGGATATAGATATAGATAGATAGATATACTTTATTTACAAAATGAAAGAAATTTAGAGGTAAAAAAACAAACAAAAAAACAATATTATTATGGCATGGTATTAAGACCGTCAGCCTGAGTTCGGAGTGCATTACTATTCCAAGAATATGCATAATTATAAGAAAAAGAGAATTTACACTATCAACTTCAGATTACAGGATTTTCAAATTACAAGATTGAAATGCGATAAACTTTAAAAATAATAAAAATGACACTTCAAAGAATAAAAGCAAGGATTCCAACTCACAAAGGGTTCCCCACCGGCAAACAGAATCCGCATTTAGAAGCCCACAAAGTAGAAATTATATGTATTACCTGCCAGAGCAAAAAAGGAAACAAGATAAGACGAATAGAATATTAATATCCTACATTCCAATATATTCATATCTGTAAAACCAGGGTTTCCGAGCAAAATCAACAAGATCCCGGCAATCCGAGCCGTTCAGAAGGGTTATAAGCTCTTCCCTCGTCGGAAAACCCTTACCCACCAAGCATCTAGCGAGAAAATGAAATGCATCCTCACGACCGCCTGAGTTGCATAGAGAGCACACTGCAGTGGCAGGAGTACCCCCAACCCAAGGCCTGAAATTCAGGAACAACAACTCCCCTCGAATTTTAAACCAACAGCGGAAAAAAGAGAACGGAACATCATTTGATGGAGCAGAAAAAACATTGCAAGGAGTTAGGGAATGATTCAACTCCTTGTAGAGTTGGAATCTATTTGAATCCACGGCACAACTCTCCCGATGACGAGCCTCCATAATATGAAGAAGATTGGAAAACATTTCAGACCATGCTGCAGAATTATCCAAAGAGAACCGAGCCACATTATACCTCTCCGTAAGAGAATTCCAGGATTTGAACCAGGATATGTTACCCTTAATAACTTCAAGTGATGAAATTTTTGCCAGGCGAGAATCAGGGCTTGAAGCCAGAACTTTTATATTTGTATAATTTAATTTCAAGAATATTATTTTTCTAATTATACAGTTATTTATAGGTAATCCCTTCTTTATATTTTAAATATTTATTTTACTATTATAGTAATCTGTTAAAACTTCAGCAAAACCCAAATTGAGTTGATATTTTGTTTCTCCTGTTTTATATTTTTGTAAATTACAAGACTTAGCACTCATGGAGATAGAGAATTTTTCTTTTATCAATTTCAGTCAGGGTTCTTTCTTTGCCTAGGATTTACTAATTGTCAAAGTTAAAATTATGAGATTTACCATGCTGAGGCCTGTGTCATTCTTACCTGTATTTAAGTGTTATGTGACTGTACGTTCTTTCAGCTTCTGTTTGGTCTGCCCAATGTGTTGTTTATTACAATCGTTACAATAAATTTTGTATATTACATTGCATTTAAAACGTTGGTCGATCCTATCAATAATTTAAAATTTCGTTGTATTTTTAAATAACGTATAGACATATGTTTATATTTGTACTTTTTATTTTTTTGTTCATAGTCATTGTTTGTAGATTTTTAAAAAAATAATGGGTAGAGTTATGTGGGCTGTGTCTCGGGATGTAGGTTTCGCCTTGTTGTCGACCCTGTTTTCAAGTTTCATCACGATTATGTTTCGACCGTCCGTCCTCGGTTTCGACTGCAGAAATTTTTCAATTATGTATCCAAAAAAGGAATCGACGATAGGTGATACAAATATGCGCATAATATCTGACGTATTTCCTATATGTTTTATTATTGTGTATGAACTGATAAATTGCTCGTTAAGTAAAACTGCGCGGGTCGTGAGCAAGTCGGCCATCGTCTTGAATGTGCTCAACATGGCAGCAGTGTATCAAACGGCTTACAACACACTAGAAGGGATCGGAAATGCGATAAAATTGTCTGCCGGTGAACTCAAGCCGTATTTCTTCGAGGCGTGCCAGCCGGATGTCAACTGTTCGGATCCGTCGATCAATTCGCATTTCGTCAATGATTACCATTGTGCCGGGGATATATACATTGTGAATGCGGCGAGGATGTCATTCCCATCCCAGCACGCCTACTCCACAACAATGGCGATAGTGTACGTATGTTTGTTCGTCGATCACAAGATAAAATGGGAAGGGATCAATATCGGAAAGAGATTGTTCCAGTTTTTACTTATTTCATTGGCGATGTTTGTCGGTTTATGCGGGATTGTCGACCATCATCACCATTATGCTGACGTCGCCGTTGGATTCTGCCTGGGCACGGTGACTGCATTCGTTGCCAGTCATGCCACGGAATGGTTCGACATTTAATGAAGTCCATCTAACGAAAGATTTAAAAGATTAAATTGTAGAAAAACACATTTTTACATAAACACACTCTACACTTACCCTACAGCTTTTATTATTACCTACGTAATCACAAGTAGAAGTAAAAAATTAAATTTAAAAAATCAGAATTTTACAAATCGAGCTACTGACATCCAGAATAAATTTAACTTTTAAACGCCCACAAAAAATGTTCCGAAATCAGATGATCATCATAGGAAATTTATAATCCCTAAAAATTTCACGAATATTCTGGATCTCGGTATGGTCTGGACGAAAAACAAATTCTATTGATTCTGCCAAGCTTTCGACCTATTTTAAGGTCATCAGGGCAACAATCTTGAATATGTCTGAAAATAGAAATGTTAATTGTTGAATAGTGTTACAGTCCTTGGCTATGTTTGTACTGAATCATCAAAGAAATTTGAAACCATCTATTAAAAACTTTAATAATGTCAATTTGGAGACATGTTGAACGTTGTTTTGCTCTGAATACACCTAAAACTTTAATCTCTACAGATTTCAAAATTTCTCCGTAATTTATTTAGAAATCGTGAGATGCGGTCTGGTGTGATGTAGGTTTCAGAAAAACATTTTCTTTATCGTGCCAACGTTTCGATCTTTATTGAGANTCTTGAACACCAACACAATTTCGACTTCAAAAATCCAAAAGTATTAAACACAGAACAAAACAAACATAAACGTAATTTCTTAGAAATGGTTTATATCAACAGAGATAAACACAGCATCAATTACAGAACAGATACATGTAAACTCAGTCGCAGCTACGCCAATACCATTAATCAAATTCAATACAGATAACATACATATATCATCACATTACACTCCACACATCAAATATTTTTCACATACTCTAATTTCCCAACAATTTAGCTTTCCTTTTCCTATTTATCCCTTTCTATATAATCCTAAAAGGATAATCTGGCCGAACCATTACCAACACATTTTTTCCCTTCGTCGGCTCTTTTCACCTCAAAGAAGCCGACGCCTTATACAAAAATGTATTTTCTATACCGACATCCTTCCCCACCCCTTCAAAATCCAACGTGTATAAACATAAAATAGCAAAATCTCCCTGGCACTCTCGACACGACACGCAAGAATTGTACAATTACACAGAAGACAAACACTTTGAGTAAGTAGAAATACTTTGATTGAATATATAAAAAATATATTTTGCATTGTATAAATTCACTTTACCACATCCAAAATGTAATTGTTATGTGTAAACAAAGTTTGTAAATCCCAGGCCCTGAAGATGATCTGAATAAAGATCGCAACGTTGGCACGATAAAGAAAATGTTTTTCTCAAACCTACAACACACCAGACCGCATCTCACGATTTCTAAAGAAATATCGACTAACGGTCACTAATCACCACACATTTCTCCGTAAAATAATTTTTACTCCTCTGTTGAGGAACGTCACACTTTACAACTATTCGTGGTTTCTCTTTCACATATAAACATTTAATTATTTCATTACATAAACAAGTTTAACCATTGTTTTCTAAGTTTTTCGATAGTGAAATTTCTTTCTCGTTCACTAATAGGCAAACTATCTTATCGCTGCTACCTGCCATCCAATTCTTGTTCCTTTCTCTCTATAGAAGTTGTTACAGGGTTAAATGTCAATGGTGTGTCATATATATATATATATATATATATATATACATGACAGGTATATGTATATAGCATATAGATACATATATACCTTCTAGAATATGTATGTTATCAACTTATAAATGGTTGTATTAAAAATATGAGATGTACGATGTTCTTGGGTTTGATATCACGTTTTGCAACATTCTAAAGGAGAATTCACTAAGAAAAATTCAAAAAAATGTGTGGTGTTATGATTTTATGAAGATGATCTCATTAACGATCGAAACTAATTAATTTTTATGTAAGGTATTGGTTGAAATGAAAAAGCCAGTGTCACGAGCGGGATTGGCACCAACGACCTTCAACTAAATACGCCGCTGCTCTAAGACTTCGATCCCCTCGGACAACAGTATGTCCGGTGGGTTCGAATCCCGCTCATGGCACTGACTTTTTTTTTATCTCTAACAAGACCTTACATAAAAAGAAAGAAGTAATTGAAAAAAGTAACTTGATCAATTGACCTCTAAACCATAAATAGATTAATATTTAATAAGTAAAAGAAGTATCACTTCACTAAACAGCTCCCGGTGGCCACTTCATAAGTCGCTGAGAATCGAATCCTGATTACACGACATTTGAAAATGGGAAAAAGGAAGGAAAAATTCGAAAGGTTGTAAGTTGACATGGGGAGTTCGTGTCCGAGTGGATCAAAGTCACGATAGCTCAAGTGGTAGAGCAGCGGCGTATTTAGCCGAAGGTCGTGGGTTCGAATCCCGCTACACTAGCTTTTTCATTTCAACCAATACCTTACATAAAGATTAATTAATTGAAAGAAGTCATACGGTCAATCGGACCACGAAATATAATGGATTTAAAAAGATCGAAACGTTAGCACGATAAAGAAAATGTTTTTCTAAACCTGTCAACCAGGCTGTCCTTCGAATACGTATAAAATACAGTAACTTTGGCGAAATCTCCGAATATTTTGATGGAAAAGACATTGCACGAGTAACAATTGAGAATTAAAAAAAAAGGTTTGGCCACTTGTCATTCTTTGATATATGATATCTCTTTGCGTATTCGGAAGCGTGAATTTTTCAACGGAAATGTTGTTATCTTATAGAATTTAATGTAGTTTGCAAAATAATGTTCAGATTTTAATGACGCTCAAGTTGAGAAATTACGATTTTGTTCTAAACAATCTGATTTTAGACTAAAATCACAAATTTTAATATCTCAGGAAGAGTCAAGAGAGAAACCTCGTTCTGATGGCACTGAACTACGTTTTATTTAGTGAATCCACCAGGCAGTATTGATATTAACCTGAAACACCCTGCATATGTATACAATAAACGCACTATCCTTAAATTTTAATATAGTTAGGTTTATTCATACTTTTTCATACCAAAAACACGCTACAACATACTGGTTGCAAAAAATAGACATTTAAAAATAAGATGTTAAATGTTCATTACCTAATTTAAAAAAAAATTATTGAATAAAAAAAAAAAAAAATATAAACAAAACATTTTTGTCTTCTTTAATACTGAGCATTTCCACCTCTGGCTCGAATCACTTTTATTAAACGCCTTTGCATTCCTAGGAAAAGATTTCTGGTACAATCCTGAGGAATTTTTTCCTATTCATCAAAAATAGCCGTTTCCAATTCTCCTAGGGTGTTAGGACTTGGGTTTCGCCATCACACTAGTCCCTTAGTTGGTACCAAGTGCGTTCGATTGGGTTCAAATCGAGCTGGCCACACCAGGCACTCAATTCCAACCTCATCCAGGTAGTCATCCACAGTACGTGCTCTACGGTTTCTGGCATTATCCTGCATTAGCAAGTTTTTGGCAAACGTTGGCACGATAAAGAAAATGTTTTTCTAAAACCTACGTCACACCAGACCGCATCTCACGATCTCCGAATAATTGTTTATTCCCAAGATAAACTTTAAAAAAGCACAGCAAAATTTAAGAAATTTTCTTTTCTTACATAGAAAGATAATGGATTTAATTTTAGCCTAGTAAATTGTGTGGTGCCTTAAATTTGTCCATCAGTGTATATATGTTTAATTTGTTGTGTTATTTAGTTGGTTTGTAAATGAATACGCGGTGTGTAAAAACAGGCAGTCCACTTTTAGAGTTCATGGCCGTAATTTTTGAATTCCGTCACGAGTTCCTAAAATAAGAATTATTCGAACTTCTACGGCATTTTTTCACAAGTCTATTAGAGATAATGCGCTATTTTTATCCTTCTAATGTAACTCAAAAGGATTTGTTATCTTTTGAAAAGCTAAACTCAAGAACATCGAGTGCCCAACAAATTGTAAAGGATTTGTCGAAGGAAGTGTGGATATATCACGTGGCTGAAAACAACACATTTTTCATTCCCATCTTGATTTTGCCACTTCAAACCGGCTTTTTATCAGCTCTACATAATAATCATTTAGTGACGCCACATTTAAATTTGAATTGGACTTCACGTTGGTGCCATCAGTATTAAAAGCCGAGGGCAAAAAACTGTAAAATTAATTAATTGGCTGTTAAATGTTAAATGTAGCGATGTTATTTGGAAGAATGTTCTCTTCGTTTTTATTTTTTAACTCTTTTATTTACATACTGTCTAGGTTTACTATTAAACTATGGTTCAACAATAACAATATAAAAATATATTAAAAAATAAAACAACATGACTAGTCATCAAATTGTTTAAAAAATCCCACGTTCTTAGCTTCCCCTTGTACAAATTCGTAGCTAGGAATTCAAAAATTATGATTTTTAAATTTTGGGCAGCAATCTAAAGTTTGCACAAAATTTTACAGTTTTTATTTATAAAAAATGTATTTCTCAGCTCATGATTCTTTGGAAACTTTTTAAAATTCTGCTATGTGAAATTATTTCGCTGTTATTGCTAAACAAAATTTAAAAAAAGAATCGTTTAAATATAACGAAGAGCTTTAATTAATTATAAATTTTTATCTAAGGTCTTGGTTGAGGTAAAAAAAATAGTGTCACGGGTGGGTCAATCAAGACATTAGATAAAATTTATAATAACTATTACGATCATTTATGACTACTAAATACATATAAGAAATAACGAAGAGTATTGGAGTAAAGTGAGCCTAAAGAGGAAATAAAATACAGTCTTTTAGAAGCGGTTTTATGATCGAGCTAGAATTTTTTCCATTACCGCCAAATTTAAATGTTACAATTAGACATAAACGGGCACCTGTTTCTTGGGCCAAAGCCCACGCAGGTGCCCCTTATGCAGAGAAAGGTTGCTCGATGTGTCCCACATACTGGAAACATGTCATGCCTTGGCTCCCTACAGGGAGCGGGTAGGCATGCCATCCAATCTGAAAATGGTACTCGAGCACTGCAGCGGGTTTCTGGGTCCCCTATATACCCTGG